TCGATAATTCGGCAATTCATTTGGCTTTAATAATCAGGTTTATGAAGAAAAACTTCATACTTGCAGACTTTGTACTCGTTTGTATCCTTGCCCAATTTGCACAATCTGGCGTCAGGCATTTATTGAAGCTACTGGGCATGGTTAAAACTCAAGACAGCGTAAGCACAATTATTCCAGATATTACAGGTTCCGACAAGTAAAGAATTTTTATAGTCCTGCCACAAATAAGCTATATATTGATTATTGACCATTTGTGACACGCTAAAACGAGCAAAAATTTAAAAAAAAAAACTAATAGGTAGGTTTAAAATTAATAAATACAAATGTATTTTGACAGTGAATGAATTAATTTTGCTTTCTATTTGCAAAATTCCTCAACCTTAACACAAAATAAGAAAAAAAGTGAAATTTTAAGAAATTTGCGGGATTTCCCGGGATAAGAAAAATTTCCTGGGATATTTCCCGGGTTAAAAAAACAACCGGGATCCCGGAATCCCGTTTGAGAAACCCTAGTTCAGAGGTTTCGCTGTAATATGATTATTATTCTCTAAGTTTATTAGCGAAAAAACCTTCCTATATCCGCGAGATAAAGTAAAAATTTTTCTTGCGGACCTTATACCAGCATAGCATATTCACATGATACACTGATGATCGTGATACTGAATTGTTCCAAAGTGTTTCCTATACAAAATAATAGGGAAATTTCAGAATTTTGATATCCAATATTTGTGGAACCTATCATTGAATTAGAATACAAGAACATTACGGCATGTCTGAGGGCTCACTTTATCTATTAACTGTTAATTCGTTAAAATTTATTGCGAAAATTTAGAACAGTTCCTCGTGAAATATATTGACTCTATTCAAAATACATATAGATGGATTTAAAAAAGTAATAATCACAATAACTTCACTGAGATTAAGATTGAAAAATCATACCTAGATAACTTTCTAATAGTATTGTCTTGATATATCGTGATTGCTGTATTCGGAATTGAAAACTGGAAAAGTTGCCCCCATTTGCTATTGTCAAAAACCAAATCTGGTGTCCAGATAGATTTTGCAGCTTTTGAAAGAAGTACTTTACAATTTGTTATGTTCAACATTTCAAGTCTCAATCTGGGATCCTTCCATCGTTCTGTTAGAAACATGTGCATTCGGAAATCCTGAAAGATATAGCATGAGATTTTTTCACAAATGTATAGAATTTTCGTACGTTAAAGGTATTGCTCATCTTTTACCATTGTTGTTTCTGTTATATCATCGATGTCAAATATCTCGATATTTAAGTAAACAGTAACAGGTTTTCCTGATTAAAATCAGAAAAGAAATTTGTATAATTAAATTATTTTCAAAGATATTTATTACATAACAACATTCTTACCTTCAACACGAGGAGGATCATATTTATCATAATCATTGGGTATTACATAGCGCCAGATCCTATCAAATTCTACGCTGAAAATAAAAATACAATTGAAATTTCTTTCAATTTTTGGCCCAGCAGTGGCCAAGCAACTACATTCCCTGAACACTGGGAGTTTGGGACTTGGGTTTGCGCTTGTTATCCACATGTGTAATGCCTGAAAAGGTGCCGATTACCCTTAAAAAGAACTCCCTGAAGTCATACACCTAAGCAGATTGCCCAAGTGTTGCATTGCTACAACTTAACAAAACACACTTTTAATTTTTATAAACAGAATTAATAAAGATTTTCTACATTTTCATTTTTAGAATTAATTTATAAAAAATTTTAAAAATGTTCATTTATAACATGAATAAATAGAGAAGCAATTTTATGAACATTATAATTTGAATTTGTTGATGAGATATGGCTACGCAATACATAGGCAAACTGCCAAAAAAAGGTACTTTAGAAGTGATCTTCATTGGCAAATCTCCCATTTGTTGTGAATTAAATGTATGAGATGGTTTTGCCCACAGAAAGAATTGAATTTATGGGATAAGGTTGCACAACAAAAGAATCTGCAAAAGTGCTACCCAGTTAGCCTTCAATTGTAAACTGGTTCCTATTTAGTGTTTGACAAAAACATTCACAAACCTCCAAGTGGATGAAATTACCGAACGACAGTGATGGTTGTTCAAGAGTTCGAGCCTTGCCAACAGACTGGCCACAAGAAGTTTTTATGGTTTTCTTTACATTAGTAACACCAACCAAAATAGAGGCAGGTTTTCCATTAAAATTCTCCGGGAGGCATACTCTCGGAAGATCGACCACGTGTGTCCCGTTGCCGTAATCAAATAAATCAAACCAAACCAATTCAAGCTGTTAAACAAAAAGGCCAGACTCGAACCTTCGATCCGTATTCAGTTGTGTTATTAACTCAGCTACTGTAGAACCAAACCAAAAATAAAACTCTCTGAAACTGAAATTAGTAATAAAAGTTAAGAATTCGTTTCAATTTCTTTGTTCAATGTGCAAAGTAACAATTGTTTGTGTGTTTAAGAGAATAGACATGAATGGATAATAAATTTTTATTCTATTTTGAAATTACTTTCAATAAACTCGTATATGCAGTTTTAATTCTTCAAAAGATTTAAATTAATTTAAAATGAATTTTTTATTAGTAATTTATCAACACGAAGGAGCAAATTCTAGTTCTTTATACATTAATTTAGATTTTAGAATATAAGTGATATAATAATTGAATTAAGTACTTACCTTAAACACAATTTACTTAATTTTAGAATAAAGTAAAGTTGAAAAATATTCATTTTTGTTTAAGCTCTAAGTAAGGAGTGAGGATTTTACTGCATTACTAATTATTACAGCAGGTAAGAATGATGTGACATTCGTGTAGAGCCGCATGTATTCACCAAGGTTTTTAGAACAATCGTCATTGATTTTAATTAAAGCAGTAAAATTTGTATACAAATCAATATTTCAAAAAGTTATTTTTGTAACTGTTTTAATGGAAGTTTTACTAATGATGTATTTTGTCGATACATATTTTATGGAATTACGTGTTGTTTTTGTTAAATTAAACGCACTGCAAATAGAATTATATAACGTTTTAAATTCGATACTTCTGTATTCAGCATTTCTGGCTCCTCTTTATGCAGTACTGCAAACATATTCGTATATACATATAGGCCAAGTACAAAATTAGTCTGGAAGACATTAGTAGTATAGGTTTGATACACTTTGAGTTATAATTTTTAACTCTCTTACTTTTATTTTTTCCTACCATATTTACTTACATTTATACAGCTGTGTAGCGTAGTTTATCCTATTTGCCTCTTGTGCCAATGAAAATAAACATTGTACGCGATCTATTCAAACTGTTTAAAACTAGTATTATAGCATTACACAGTGCTGACAGATGGCGCTACTGAACACCTAAATAGGCAAGGTCTATAAATATAAGGTTAAAACACAATACCATGATGCATCGCAGCAGTTGCCATGTTAGGACTCTTTTAGTATGTAGGTGTTTCAAGAGGGAATCTGATTGTTTGTTTCTTTCAATCTCAGTTAGTTGAATTTTTTGTTATATATAATAATATATATTTTTTAAATTGTTTGGTGTTCAGTACCGAATTGTTAATACTTGATATCCAAAGATATATATAATTAAAGACTTTAAATAGGTTTCAAAATAAAAAGCTATGTATAATAAAGTATGAGGATAAATTTATTTAGCTTTAAAATACAAAATTAGAGAAAGAATTTGAAGATATTTTTTAAAATAAAAATATATTCTGTTTTATATACTCGCAAGCACTTTTACATTACACAAACTGTAAACAGGAGCTCAGATGAAACATTTTTATAAATTTAAATCAGACAAAAAAAGAAGAAAACCATTCTCTCAAACTTTACATATTATATAAGGTAAAACTTCAAAGGTATTTGCAAGAAAAAATAACTTCCTTCATTTAGGAACTTCCTTGTGCATAAAAACTAAGTTTAATTATTTTTATAAAGTGTTAAATAAGTATACTTATAAAATTATATTAAACAGTAGATAAAGAGTAGAAATATCAACTTCAACTTTATTTATTGTTGACTTATGTAACAAAGATTAATTTTCATGTTTCTTCCTCTTTTAATACAATTTTGTTAACAAAAATTACTATACACATTATTTCAAATTATACATATTTTAATAAAAAATAATTTTTACATCAAATTCTAATGACAAATTAGGAAAAGAATAATATCTTAGTACTATTACATTGATTCATAACAATAACTAGTATCATATAAGTTACGAGTATAATTACAATCCTAATGCAAACTATTTACATTTGAGAGACAAGTTCAAATTTAAAGCTGTATTTATAAGCCCATATACATCATTTTCATCCTAATTTTCATTGTTTTACTTTGTTTATGCGAGATACCAGTGCAATTTGATCACAATTTTTTTATGAAGTTGGCAGGTATGAATGGAAATGAGATCGATAATGGTTAATGGCCGAACTTGCCATAAAGATTAAGATTCGAAAGGAATTCAAACTCGGTTTCTTCCAAATTATAAATTCATCTTTTTTTCCTCGCTTTTATCAATATAAAATTTCTACAAAGTATTCATAAAGTCATGCACCATGGGTAAATTGTAATGCAATGAGATTTTCTATTTCAAGACAATGTCGACACAAGAGAAATACGCTACTCATCACATGAAGACATATTTCCAGGTACAGTTTTCTGAATAACTTGGATTTGCATAATGGTCTGCGTGTTGTTTCAATCTCACAATGCTGGAAATTGGGATCACTTAAAGGATCTCATTTATGAACATCATTTACTCATTTAAAGTCTAGAATCACAGACATGTTAGGCTATGATCCACGTGATCTTGCAAGATGCGTGAAAAAATTGAATAATCCGCTAGAAATTGCACGAACATATCATTTGAATAGTTGGGAGGTGACTCGTGGAAAACATTTCTCTTAAGATCTGTACTTAATTATACAAGGATTATTATAAAGAATGGCAATTCAAGAATCATAAATTATTAGAACAGTTTGAAATCGTTACTGATACGTCAATGAAAACTACGATTTCAATCGTTTAATATTTTTCTGCGGAAACTTAAATAATGCCACCAATAATAGGAAGAAAGGAATAAAAAAGCCGTCGGAAATAAGATTCGAGAGTAATAATCAGGAGCATTTAGGGTGGTTTGCATCTTGAAAATTTTCCAAATACCACAACGTTTTCCTTTCACTTTTTCAATTTTCTCTTTAGAATTTTTACGGTTTTCTGCCCATTTTTCATTTTTCTTAACTGGAGGCGGGGAATTACGCTGAAAATAATTTTTAACAAAATTAATTTATATATTCTAAATTAATATGCATTTAGAGTGGCCCAAAAGTGAGTTTCCGTGATATGTTACTTTTTTACATTGTTGGACAGCTTATTTAAATTTTTTTTGTAACAACTTCATCTAATACGATTGAATAACTAATATATCCAGGTTACATATTTTTTGAGTTCCGTACATGAATTAAAAAATTAAGATCTAAAAGTTTATTCTAAATTATATAATTTATATTAGTTACGAAAAGATTAAAATATAGCAACTTTACGCAAAGAAGGTACATCATTTTGTCAGGGCCCAAGTGCGTACCGAAAATCTGAACTAGAGTAAGGCAACTCATATTAGTTTCGGAAAAGCCGCAACAGAGAGTGAAACATGTCAATTTCTTACAAAATAAAAGTCAAAGCTATTGAAAAATTGTTCTTATTATTCATTAACATAATAATGCTACATGCTATCACTTTGTATAAGGAACTACTACCTACCATGTAGTGAAGTGAATTAGAATTTTATGTTAACGATAATCTTTTTGGATTTACCGAAAATTTTTCATAACTTTCTTTTCTCCATGTCAGGGTGTTCTTTCATAAAATTTTGATGCACGCTTATAGTACGCTCTAAGCCAGTCGGTCTTTCCTCTCCCAGAGTGCTCCTAAGCCAGGTCTTCACTCTTTGAAGCAAACTACTACTAAAAATAAAGTTATTTGGCTGTCCTATGGGATTTTTTAGCCAGTGAGTTAAAAAATAGAAGAGGGAAGGTAGGGTATGGGTAGGTGATGAACGGATGGGATAGGGGAGGGAAATGGAATGGGTATGAGAGTAGTGAAGAAAAGGAGTAGTTTGACATCATAACCTGACACGCATCGTAATTAGTTACAAATTACAGCTGTACAAGGTACTAATTACAGCGTGCATTTTCGGTAAGATGAGTGCAATCGATGATACAAAACATTACGTGCCAGTATATAACTACAGACTAAAAATGACACTACACAATTTGCAGCAACCCTAAAGCATTGATACAATTGGCGTGTGTTTACAGCAAGTATTCCCGATGATACCAGTCCTCCAATACTGACACATTTAGCACTATCATCTATGGGACATAAGCAGGTCACAAACCGAGCCTTGACGTTCCCTGGAGAATCATGAGAATTCTCTACAGACTTCAAAGCATACTAAAGAATATGAAGTGCATTGAATAGTGCTTAGAATTGTCTATAATTGCCAATGTTTTGCAGATGGCAGGAAAAAAATATTAATTTCGTTAAACAGGTCACTTTTTAACTGCTATATCCGTTAATTTGTCTTTTGGTAAGTCAGGCCTTTTATACTACAAGTTAATGAGCTAAAAAGCCTAGAACTATCTCGTGTATTACGCGTCGCTACTAAAAGCTACTAGAACCAGGTTTATAAACATGTTTCTAGACATTGCTAGAATATTTCAGAAATTAAAAAATGTAAGTCAAAGTTCGGCTTCTCTGCAACTCTTTTGCTGACCGATTAGTGCAAAAGAAATTAGTGTTTGATCCTGTAATTGTGTAAATTATGCAAAGTGAGTTTTAATCATTCAAAGTTATTAAATGTAATCGTTTGCTTTTTACTTTAGTGTAAATAAATACTATTAATATATTGGGCAAAAAATTTAACTTTTAACAAATTCTAATCTATATTGTTTCCAAGACAATCGTCTGGAGATGCTGTCTTTAAAACTATTCCATGACAGCTAAGAGGAATAATTGCCTTTTCAACCTCTCTATTATGCATTCTTGTAAGCAATTCATTCCACCTTATAAGATTACTTTATTTTTTTCGTTTTTCTTTGTTAGTGATAAAATAAAAACATTTCTGTAAGTCTGCGTGTGACAAAGTAGGTCTTCTATATATTTTTTAAGATTTATGCATTGTATTATTTGGAAGAGTTTATGCTTTATACTGTAGCCAACTTAAAGATAAATTTTTGAGAGCTTTTGTGCATAAAGCTGTAGGGATTATTTTCATGCCTTGTCTTTATATTTTTATATATTTATTTATTTATCTTCATATCAAAGCCTGAGGTCATTTATTCTAATAGTCTCTTCTGTTAGAAAACACGTAAGCTAACAGAAATCGATCAATAAGTAATATACATTATTATGCTAACAGATGGCGCTAAACGTATCAATCAGATTCGAAAATTATATGAGGTTGAGAATCCATTGATTATTTCTGCAACGTTTTCATGTATTGCACACAAAAATACATTCCGTGTTAAAAAAGTTTTATACAATATGAATTGAAACAAAGAAATGGAATATACTTAATTATTCAATTGCACAAATAGTATTTTAAATGCATAGTTTTGACAGATATCGTGAAAAGGATCATAGAATTAAAACCAACAATCATTTTTAAAATTTCTATTTTTCGCATATCCATACACTTACACACGCACATAAACACATATTTGCTGTAGAGATTTTCTCATGACTTCAAACAATCCTAGAAAATTTCTTTTCCTTTTTCGTCTCTTATAACACAGGAAAAATATTGCGATCGATTAAAAAGTCACACCCATTATTTTTACATTTTTGTACTCGGAAATCTGGAAACGTGGTGAAATGCAGAAAAATTTCTAGGAGTTTTTCTGTGTTTAAAAGTTGGTATGTTTCTGGGGGAACAATTTGCTGGATTTTTCTATACAGCTCGCGATCGTTATAGTAGTTTTTATCAGACGTTTCAACATTCTGGCGATATTTTATATAAACACGCATTTTATGTCATAGCTTACGAGTTTTCCGATTTACTTCTGTATTGTTGCACAATTTATGCGATCTGACTAAACAATGGATAACAATCATAGATCTTGTGGCTATGCATCCTACCTTTTAGACCTTCTGGTGACATTAAGCTTTCGATTTATCATAATTCTCTTTCACTTTTATGCACTAAACATTTAGTTTTTTAAAATTAAATTTATTTTAATGAAGTTATTGAACTTTTTCAGCAGAGGGCGCTATTTAATGCGACGTCGCGTTGCTGCGCTCCCTTGCGCCGCCGAGCATCGTCGTGTCTAGCGTAAAAGCCGATCTTTTTTTAAGAAATGAACGTAATTAGTACTATCATTTAGCATTTATTAATTAAATTTAACTTCAATGAATTCATACAATATTATTTAAAGATATATTTAATTAAGCTATAGTCTCTGTACTTAAATGGAAGTCTCTCTTCGCGTCGCCCGTCTTATCGCTTCGCAAATAACGCTTAGTAAAATTATATTAAGAAGTTTCGCTATGTAATATATTTTATTTTATTTTTTAAATTAATAAATTCATAAAACTTAAATATTTATAAAATTGAAAANTTCTAAAGCACTTTGCAGTTTAAATATGAATTTGAAATCTACAATTTACCAAACTAGTAAGATCGCGACAAATAGCACAGGCATTATTATTTTACCTCATTAATAGTAGGGCACAATGAGGACATACATTAGTCTGGAATTTCTACACTACTGTCAGTAATTTGTGCCCAATTCCATAATCATTTTGATATACTTCGAAAACAATCAATACATTTGAACTTACTTTTTCTTTAAATTCCATAGAGTTGTGAGCAAATGCGTATTCTATCAACGAAGCTGTGACGAAAAACATACAAGCGAACAACCAAATATCCACAGCTTTTATATAGTCCACTGGCGGAGTGTACGATCTAGACTGCAGCATTTGAGTGATGATGGTAAGAAGTGAGGTAACACCGAGCGTAACACGAGCGGGAACTGCATTCACATCTAACCAGAATGATAGCCAGGACAGGGTTACTACTACAGTACTTGGCAAATAAACGTTGAGTATACTACCAGTTAATCGCCGAATAAAAGTAAATTTCGCATACAGATAACTGTAATTACCTGTAAAACAAAAAGAATTATTTTAATAAAACTAATAATAATAACTGGAAAGTTTTATAAGTAATTTGTAACAAAACTTTCCAGTCGTCCAAACTTCGATTTTGCTACGAGGTTTGGGTAACTTCATCTCGTGTTTCAATGGTTGAATGTCTTCCATTAGTGCAATACTTGGTCCTAAGTACTTACATGGACTATCATCAACATCACACCATTCCAGGCGTACCTTTTCCGCAGTATTTTTTACTAAAAAATTGAATAATAGACAGGGAATACCATTAGTATAGAACACAAATATGGAATTTCCAAGTAAAGTTTTATATAAGTACTATAAATATATTATTGTACTTATTCAACTACATAATATTTTACTGCGAGAAAATATTAAATTTGTTGACTTGATAAGTATAAATATATAAATTCGAAATGAAAATATACAACTGAATTAAATTCATAACAATAACAGAATATGATACAGAAAATTTAGTATAAGTAAGCTTAATTGTTTTATATTTATAAAACAATAGTTGACTTTCTCATATCTTCAACTGAAATCTATCAAAGTAAATTCAGGTATGAAGTTGAAAGTATCTTCACACTTGTACAATAAAATGGATTCCTATTGTTCAGGGCAGCATTAATGTTTATGTGTTAATCTCGAAAAATGTATGACTAACACACAAATATTACACTTTTAATAGACTAAAATATATTGCTTTCTATAATAAATACTTTGTAATTATTTAGCTTCAATAGCAAATAAAGGAATCGGACTGCTCGGATAATATATGGTTTTCTTTATATTTTTTTAAAAATATTTGTGGCCAATCTTTATATAACTTATTTTATCAAAGCCTGAGGTCATTTATTCTAATAGTCTCTTCTGTTAGAAAACACGTAAGCTAACAGAAATCGATCAATAAGTAATATACATTATTATGCTAACAGATGGCGCTAAACGTATCAATCAGATTCGAAAATTATATGAGGTTGAGAATCCATTGATTATTTCTGCAACGTTTTCATGTATTGCACACAAAAATACATTCCGTGTTAAAAAAGTTTTATACAATATGAATTGAAACAAAGAAATGGAATATACTTAATTATTCAATTGCACAAATAGTATTTTAAATGCATAGTTTTGACAGATATCGTGAAAAGGATCATAGAATTAAAACCAACAATCATTTTTAAAATTTCTATTTTTCGCATATCCATACACTTACACACGCACATAAACACATATTTGCTGTAGAGATTTTCTCATGACTTCAAACAATCCTAGAAAATTTCTTTTCCTTTTTCGTCTCTTATAACACAGGAAAAATATTGCGATCGATTAAAAAGTCACACCCATTATTTTTACATTTTTGTACTCGGAAATCTGGAAACGTGGTGAAATGCAGAAAAATTTCTAGGAGTTTTTCTGTGTTTAAAAGTTGGTATGTTTCTGGGGGAACAATTTGCTGGATTTTTCTATACAGCTCGCGATCGTTATAGTAGTTTTTATCAGACGTTTCAACATTCTGGCGATATTTTATATAAACACGCATTTTATGTCATAGCTTACGAGTTTTCCGATTTACTTCTGTATTGTTGCACAATTTATGCGATCTGACTAAACAATGGATAACAATCATAGATCTTGTGGCTATGCATCCTACCTTTTAGACCTTCTGGTGACATTAAGCTTTCGATTTATCATAATTCTCTTTCACTTTTATGCACATTAAATTACTTTGATTAAAATTAAATTTATTTTATTTACAAATCTAAATTAAATTTTTATTTTTCAATTTATAGCTTGAATCTAGGCCTTATTCAGGCAGACTGCAAGGCTCAAACTCAGTCACTCTCAGACTCGNATAAGATCCTTTGTTATTAAAATGAAAGTATTCGGAATGGAATATTGGAAAAGATGACCCCATTTAGTGTTGTCAAACATCAAATCCGGAACCCACAGAGTGTCATCTGCGGAAGGAGGAAGTATCTTTGACAGTGTTAAATTAAGAACTTCGAGTTTCAATCTAGGATCTGTCCAATACGCATTCAAATAGAAGAACATACGAAAGTCCTGAAAATTAAGAAATATTTATATACATTTTTATCTATATGCTAATATTAATGCTAGGACACAACAGCAATGACGTGACATTTACCATTGTCTGCTCTCGTATTTCATCCACATCCATGATTTCCAAATTGATATAAATAGTAACAGGTTTACCTTAAAGTAAATACATTAATTTAAATTATGTTAATATCATTTATAAATTGGCGTACAATTCACAAAAATGATAATAAAAATTATCTGAAATTCATTACAAATTGAATTATATTACGTGGGCCTTAAAATTATCTTCGGCGTACTACTGTGATGGAGTCTCATCGGCTCCGTCACAGTAGTACGCCGAACACAGTAGTAGCCACTCAACACGCGGTTGGTCGCGGGTTCGCTCCTTAACTATGGGCTGACAATATGAAGTTTCTCCAGGTTTTCGTGGCGTGTCTAACACCTAAATACAAAGTCCTATCGAGAGAGACCCCTTTTCGCAGACCGCCCATGTATTACGTTGCCATATCCCATCAAATCATTCATCCCGATGGATTTTCAAGTGGAAAAGATACCAGCTATATCCAAATACTATATATTCTAATACACGAAATGCCAATTTTGGCAATTTATTAGTGTATAAAAAGTTTCGATGTTTGATATTAGGTTCCATCGATTAATTGTCACCTAAAGATGTATCATAGATTAATATACTAACAAGTAAGTATAATATTAGCATGTTGATTAGATAAAAACCTCTACTCTATTGCACGTCGTTATTTGGCAGGGCAGCAGCTATTCACATTGCATGTCTTTGATGTTGAGGTGTTTCGTGTATTAGCATATGTAGTATTTGTTACATCACTCCTACCCCCTCAATTTCCGGTCGAACTCCACATAATAGATTTTCCATCTTCAATGTTGAATGACCTTATTATATGCAATTTGTAAGTTTAAATATTATATTGTAAGTCATGTTTAAACTTTTATTTCAATAATATCATAGTAATACACTAAATTGTGACATTTCGTCACGCAATGGTATCATTTAGTGTTCCACTTGTATTTAATCAATATCTGATAATACCTTTCAAGCTGATAGAAGTAAACATAGCAATCATAAAATTCCTATCGTTTAAAAAAGCGAAAAACTATTTAAAAAGCTTGGTATTATAAATCATTATATACAATCATACCGATTATTATGAAGCAAGTTGCACGTCAGTAATACTTAATAGTTTGTTTGGGTTTGATGGAACAAGTCAACGCAACATATGGGCAATCTGCTAAAAGAAGTGCTTCTTGTGAGTAATTTCTATCAGAAACTGATCGGTATCTTTATGTGCGCTATGTGAAAAAAAATCCGGAAAAATCCACGTGGCAGCTCGCTGTTCAAGAAAGAACCTATGACTAGGCCAGCTTGACCATTGGTGGAGACATCTTAATGGTTCCGATTTATGCTTATAACTTTGATGTTTTATATTATCGTGCAATTATTAAGAAACAAGCCTGATATGTCGCAGAGACAAGTCCTGACACATCCCGGATATGTAGGGCGGTACAATCTGTAATATGTCGTGATACCTTCTTATCTAGGGTGGGCTACCCTCTTGGAGCATTAAAATTTCTCTCTTGCAACAAGTGTAAAAACTCGGTTTTAACATCTGTTCGGTGTTTGTACCAATTAAAAGATGATAATTATAAATATTTTCTTACCATCAACAAGTGGAGGCGCGTAATTATCATAATCAGTAGGTATGATATTCATCCAACTGCTATCCAGTTCGACACTAAAATGAAAATAATATTAATTAGCCATTTTAATTTTGTATATTTATAGAGCTAAGAACAACACATAACTATTATTCTATTCCAATCGATCTAATTTATTAGTTTAATGCCAGACAGCAACATATTTATGTTGTTTTACCGATGAGGCAGACCCCATTGTGAATAAGCCTCATTCATACTCATGTTTAATTACTTTTACAAAAATAAATAGAAAATTCCTGCATTTATTACAATTATCCTTAAAAGCTACCATATGAGGTTCCGTGATAAAGAAATATTTCGCACTGCTTTTATAGTGTCATTACAATTATCTGTTATGTGGAACAGAAACTTGGATATTGAAATTAATGACAGTAACAGACTAAAGGCAAAAACAGATTTCTGTGGCGGGTCTTGTAAAAATTCTACTATAAATGTAGCCTTCTTTATCATTCCTTACTTCTTTCGTTTCTCATTTTTCTAGTTTTATTTTTATTGTTTTCTTTTTATGAAAACCTTGATCACTGGCCCGGAAAGCATGCGCATAAAACTTGTCCTGTTCATAAAACAACAGCGATTCCTTATTCCTTTTATAAATTAGTATAGTTCCTATCTCATGTTTTTCTTTACTGTCAAGGCCTCACATTTTTGAACACTAATTGAAGTATTTATTAATACGAATAAATAGAGTGTTAGAGCTTTTATCGACATTGGTACAAATCCCATTTAAGTTGCGATACATTTTATAGACTATAATTTTTTATAATTTAACTCGAGTTTTTGTACACTATATTGATTTGAACTACATTTAAAGTAACACGCAACGTATTAGGCGCAACATGCGAGTATCGACTGATAGTATCTAAACTGAAGAATTATTGTTTCGACAAATAATACGCAAGTGTAATACAACCGCAATTAACAATGCTACAATTATAATTTGTTTAAAAAAATAATAAGTTATAGAACAGTTATTTGCATGATAATGATACAATAGCTCACGTGTAATTGTTCTCATCACCTCGACACGACATCAATTAATAATCACCGCTCGAACCTAATCGATATGACCTTATAACTTCACAGTTAATTAAAATCGAATGATAACTAAATTATACACTGAGAAAATAAATTCTAGAAATATACAGAATGAAAAATCGATATGGCTTTGTTCCGTTCAGGTAAAATTTTATATTAATGAGAGAATTAAGTTTCCATAGTTAGGTTGTTGGAAAGACTATCTGCCAGAGACACCTGCATAAATGCGCTCATTAAATAATGTTATAATTCGATTTTACGAACTCCGTTATAAATGATTTTAAAAAAACAACAGAACAGGTGTCTTGTCCTAACTACTTTCGATCATATTTTCGATTTAGGTAACTAATAACAACGAGAAATTTATGTTGCATACTCGAAACTTCGATATAAAAGCGTGACAATTGCATCCGATAGTAGTTACTATTGATACCGAATTCGTAAGTTTCGAGGTTCCACCCGGGATGCTTAAAATTGTTCGTGTTTCTCGTGTAACACACCATATTTACTTTGCCACGTGTTTACAAAAACGATTTGGTACTAATCACAATAGGTGGAAATAGCTTTTGAAAATATCGGTTTGAAATATGTTCTAAATATGTCGTTTATTTCCCTCTTACAGTGCGTTTTCTTTGCGTTCCTGTTCCCGTATTACACCATTACATCGAGGACATTCTGAAAACTTCACATAAGAAACTCAAACACTGCAACAGTCAACTATAGTAGCCAATTATTAGTTGAACAATAGATTACACATTCATTTCTTACAACGGACAACAAAAGAAAGCAGTCTTTAAGCATCTTATGTTTACTTCGACAACTTATTACACTGATTTATTAATTTAGTTATTAAATTATTGATAATAGAATTTTAAAATAGTTTAAGAAAAGTTATTACCTTCGACCCAAGTGGGTTAAGCACAAAACGATGCAAAGCAGCAGCACAATTGTCATCACTATCAAATGCCATCAACTCACTCAGACTTACCGGCGTGCATCGTGACTTTTATTGCACGTTTATTATTGATCAAAACAAAAATATATTATGCGAGTTGTAATTTTTTTACACGAAATGTACGTACGCAATAAATTGCGCTCACTTTGGACAGTCATGCATAAAACAAAATTATGCATGACTGTCCAATTATGTTTTTCTTTGTTACTGATTAGTTTTTAGCCCTTCATCCCGTGTTCAGTAAAGGTGAGATCTAGTAAGTGATGCACACGTGTAGGGACTTGTTGTGGCCCTAATCTAGAACATATAATAGGCTTTATTCCTACACCAAATAATGATATGCTAAAAAACCTGAGGCCATAAAGAGAGACCCAAACTTTAGCTTATGTTCAAATGCGGCCATGCTGTTGTGAAAATGTACAGCGCGGACAGGAAAACACAGACACGTTTTACTAATTAAACAAGTTTAATTTCGCGCTAACATTAATATATATACAGAATAAGTTCGGATTCCCGCTGTTACCTACACACGTTTCCAAAATCCCGAGCGATCAGATGTACCAATAGACCGGTAGTTTCTTTCTCGCTAACTACCTCCCGACAAAATTAGTTGCGCGCGTAAACTTAAACTAACTTAAAACTAAATTAAACTAAGAGATAGAAAAGATAGAAAGGGGAAATAAGAAGAATTAAAGGACAGAGGGTACCCAATTTTCCTGTTGGTTCTCCACCGTTCCTTGTCTCGGCTTCGTTCTCGGCTGTTCTTCCTTTTAGAACAATTTGGGTCCGTTTTGGCGTTTATCTTATAATCGTTGACCAGATTCTTCTGTCGATCCGCTTCTTACGGCCTCATTCTGCAGCGCTCCCAAAACTTTCCGTTCCTGAGCCTGCTGCCACACGTTTCTCGCTCTCGGAGTCCGGCCTAAGAATGCTTAAAAACCCTTTGTTTTCCTTTCTTCCAGCCCCGTTTTCGTCTTTTGTTCTAAGGCTACTCCCTGATGGGTTAGGGGTGAGGCGAGTTCTTAGAAATCCGAGACAAAGGAACAAAGAAATCGGAAGGAAGGAATATTCTAGAATTTAAATTAAACTAAAACTATACGGACTAATAATAATAATAACAATATTAATAAAAGAAAAACAGGCGTGTAGCCACACTGTAACTGTGCGTCAAAACTGATTTCTCTATTTTAATTGTCTGTATTAAATTTAAATGATATTTGTTCTGTTTTCCGTGTAATCCAGTGTTTCTCACATTCTAACGAATCGTCGCCCCTTCGACGTAGTATCGCCCCCTTCAATAAAACCGTTACGTAGTATCGCCCCCTTCACTACAAAATTCCGATGCCGAGGAACAAGGCTAACGCCAAATTCGTAGTGCATCGAATAGAATAGTGACTATTATTTAATTATTGTACGATATAACGAATAAAATATCTAATTATTCTTAATATAATGTTTTACTTTATCGCCCAGAAAATTGTTTTTTGCCCCCAAAATATAAACTGTTGCTAATTGCCCCCTGAAAATGGAAAAACGCCCACATGGAGGCGATATCGTCCCCGTTGAGAAACACTGGTGTATACTATTGGCTACCAACAGCTGTTCTTAAAGACATTTAGCTCTGTACACTGAAATGCGGCACGTGATCCGTTGCGATTTTTGGAAGAAAAAAAATAAAGTTTTATATTGAAATTTCGTAGAAATATATTTTATAAAATGGTGTATTATAAATTACTTTAATTATTTGTGGAAGTATTTCCTGTAAAGCTTCTTTTGTCAGGGTGTTAGGTTAGTGAAGTTCAAGCTTAACATATATTATAAGTAATACTATAACAAACGAATATAAGAACGATACAAAATATCGTGATATATTTTAGTATTTAAGGAGTGACTAATACACGTGTCTAGAAACTCACTCCCCCTCAGGCATTCGCGACATTCCAATTTTCAACACGAGTGTTGAATGTTGAAGTCAACAATTTGACTTCATCAACGACGTTCCAACTCGAGTACGAAGTGCTTAGTTCCCATAATTCCATTCTCAGCAAGATGGATTCCATTCAAATGTCTTACCAATTACCCACAATTCATTGGAAAGTAGCAGTCAACATATCTGTTGAGTGCTGAGTGTGTTGAGTCAGCGTTAACTCAACGTTGAAAAAAAGAATGAATTTTAATGAACGTTGAGATCAGCGCTGAGTTAGCGTTGAAAATTGGAATGTCCCGATTGTTAGAAATTACCAGCAAACATCAACCAACAACTGTTTTCAAGGACAACTAACTGTTTGTAGTGTACTGCAGTGTGTGGTATCTAGTTATAATAAAATAAATAAAATTTTATACTAAAATTTTTATAAATCTATTTTATTATTGTTTTCTATATTCAGTACATATAAAATCAAACGTAAATGTACTGTGTATAACATTGTATTTTATAATTATTTTTCATTTTTCTTATTACTTGTAATCATTTAAAATATGTCTTTATGTCAATAAATAAATTTTCATTTTATCTTTTGTCATGTTTTTGTTTTTTAATTATTTTTAAAGCTTACGTGCGAATGGCAGTTTTCCAGCACGATAGCGACTCGTGCAAAGAGGCCATTTTCAGGCCCCTGTAAAGTTGACTATCTAGAGGGAAAATGCCATTTAGGAACCAATTTTGGCAAATTGAAAAAAATCAAATAAAACTTTTTTCAAATAGATGTTTTCTTTAAATAATAAAGTTTTTTAAATAAAGTTTTTTTTATCTGAAGCTATTTTTAATCAATTTGACATCAAGAGGTTAAGAATCACCTGACAAAAAAGTGGTAACGAAATCTTTAATTCGCAGAGTGACAATTGTTTGCGTATTAAATACAACTATCAGAGATTAAATATTTAAAATATCGTGAGAAGAGGAAAGTATTGCTTAATTTAAAGCTTCATTTTAAAGCATATTTAATACTTTGTGCATTTTATGCAAAATAAAATTGAAGTCTCTAATCGATTTCTCTGCAAATGAATTAAATAGACAAACATCGAATCAGAAATATTAAATAGATTTAAATAATTCCATGCGTTTTCTCTTGAATGCTCAAAGTAATGTCTGAAACTCGAGAAGCGGTAGGCTGATGACTTCAGCTCTGGTTGATGCAGGATCGAATCCGTACAGGTAAGAATTATTCAGGGGACGGTCCTTTCGGATACGTAGAGCCAGTTTCTTACCATTGTGGGCTTTACCTAACCCATGATAAGCTTGTAAACAAGACCCTCTAACGCTCTTAAGCTTGAAAAAGTTATTAAAAAATCACTAAAGTTAATAAATAATTTTATATAACAAGATGCTGTTTGTTAAACTTATCACAGAATTATATTATCTTTTTCTTCTGTTTAGTCTTTTGTTTTTTCTATGCCTCATATGGGCTCATAACTTGTTATAATCAATACTTGTTATAATAAATCTGTCTCTTCTCTTATTTGTCATGTATTTTTATAGAAAATACGTTACGTATAATTTTAAATGAATAAAAGTATTCTCAAGTAATAAGCGTTTAATTGGTTGATCATATGTATAATCTATAACATTTCAGAGGTTCTTCCTTTCTTTCCCCCTCCCTCTTAAATATAATTAAGTACTTGCCTCAAACACAATTCATTTAGTATTAGAATAAACTAAATTTATTAGATGATAATCATCTCCTTGTTCTTTCTATTGCCTAGAACAAAATACAATAATGCCGTGCATTCGTGTGGAAACGCACGATATCTGTATTGTCCAAGTGTCCAGCCATTGACAGCAACGCGATCTTAGACACGAGACATAGTCTCTAAAATCGCGTTGTTATAAGTTTACAATATTGTAGTTTTATGAAAAGACGATACATTATTCTGTTAGGGCAGGCATGGGCAACATACGGCCCGCGAGCCAGATCCGACCCGTCTAATAAATTTATGTGGCCCTCGATCAATCTTTCAATATTACGTACTGAAGTCCGAATAGCTCGATGAAAAATTCTGACGCCTAAAAAACAAAATAAAAAAGAAAAGGTCAACAACTCAACAACTCACTGTTCGTTTGGAGTTAACCCTCCATTACAAATCTCGTAAGTACAGCGTAGAGCAGTGTTTCTCAACGGGGGTGATATCGCCCGCATATGGGCGTTTTTCCATGTTGAGGGGGCGATTAGCAAAAATTTATATTTTGGGGGGCGAAAAACAATTTTCTGGGCTATATAGTGAAGGGGGCGATACTACGTCGAAGGGGCGACGATTCGTTAGAGGATGAGAAACACTGGCGTAGTGTTGATAAAGCATGATAATGTGGAAAATGTATCTGTAATATCTATCTCCAGTTCAGTCACTACGGAATGACACCACAATAAAATCTCGCACCACCTGAAAACCTTCCTAGGGCAGCCTCTTGTTTGGCTCGTGGAAAAAGTTTTCTTTTTAATTCGGACCAGGAGCAAAAACTGTTGGCACCCCTTTGTTAGGGTCTACTTCCTAATAGTTCTATATCTGATACCTGTATAGTTTTTAATCAGAATGAATAAACATTGCCATATGCGGTTTTCTGAATTCAAATTTCGCTTATTGAAACGTTTGGTTTCGGTTGGTTTTTTTATATCTTCTTTGCCCGGCAATTTTGTAGTTTTTGAAGATTCCACTAATGCGCCATCTTATTTTAAGCATTAAGTTAAATATAGATGAAACTGGATTTATATTAATTTTATCGTGTAAGTTTTATATTTATTATAATTACATTTATCAGGTACGTTGTTGTAAATTTAT